GAAGGATAAACAGACATGTGATATCCTCTCCTTCACTCTGACCTTCTAAGTGAGGCATGGTTCACTGCAGCATCACATCTCAACTTTAGTTCAAATTAGACCAAATGTACTTGATGTACACTAATGGTTCACAGTATGTAGAGTCCTGAGAGTGGATTCTCATAGTGACATGATCCAAACATGTCTTACAGTCTTTCTGTCTCTGATTCAAGCATGAGTTCTTTCAGTCAGATTTCCATCCAAGGAGAAGTAGGTGTCCTGATTTATGAATGGAGTGTATCCTGTTGATTACAATGGTATGGTGCCGGGGTCAATCAGCCTTAGAAAAGACATCTGCGGGCCTTTCTATGAGGCCCATGATGGGTCCGAAGACAGATTTTGGGTCCAGGAGTCAGCGAGTGAGGCAAAGGTTGAAGAGCAGAGCAGGACAAGGACCTCACACCCTGCAGGAAGGAGCCTAAGTCCTCTGACTTAGCCTTTCTTCTACTTACTGGGCTCCTAGAAATAGGCAAGGCATAGCTGAGAGAGACAGAGGTTCTTGAGCGAGCTCTCATGAAGACTGTGTTGATAGAAGATGGACTTTTCCAGGGAGAATTGTTTGCTGGGAATCCTTTGGAAGAGGACTCCTGAGCAGGGGCATGATCCCCATTCTCTGCTCTAGTATTTGAAATGTGCCCATCAGCAATATTGATCTTTCAAATTGTATTGTCCATGGTAGGCTGGAGACACAGAGCATCAGCAGGCAAAAGCAGACTGTTGGGTGGCCTCAGGACATGCTCAGGGACCACTACAAGGGTGACAAGGCTGAGTGTGAGCTGCATGGCTATCTCTGGTGCGAGAACAAGCACCTCATCTCTCAGGTGAAGATGGAGGTCCAGTCCTGCTCTCAGGAACACAACAATTATCTGATTGCTGGAGCTATGGTGCTCCTCTGGATGACATGTTCTGAGTGCTCTGCCCCAGAGGGAGATGCACAGTGGGGATGGAGGATGGAGTCCAGGAGCCAACTGCAAAGGGGCTGTTTCTGCACCTGTAAAGAGAACACAGTTTGGAGATGAGAGTCTGGGTCAAGCACAATTCCTGTGAGGGTTACGGATGTAGCCTGGAGGAATCAGTCTCATTACAGACCAGCTACTCTTCATCAACCAACAAGACCTAAGGATGCACCAACAGATATTCCCAACAAATTGGTCACTTCTTTGAGAATTTTATGGAAGGTGAGTCTAGTTGGGTGATACAGAATTAGTTTTTCTTCTTCAAAATTTTTATGTTGAATTCAGTGATAGTTTACATGGGAGAACATTAGCTTTACATTCATCCTATCATATTTTGTTTCATTGCAATTATTACAGTCCCCTCCATGCATCAGCATTCAACAACATTTGCTTCCATTCCCTCTGGTTCTTTTTCTTTCTGGATGTACACTGAAGCACTCAGGAATAGAAAACCAATAAAACAACCAAAGGGTACACCCCACAAGACTGCTCTCTGGCCGTCAGCACAGAGCCCCTCTCCTTCCCTGAGTCCATAGTCCCTAGCTGCTCCATCTCTCCACATCATCATCTCTGCCGTCACTGCTTTTCTGGATAGGGTCCCTCATTCCGCTCTTCTCCCTTGATGGTCACAGGGTCCTCCACTCCTGGAAAGCTGGATCAACCACTCCCCTCCTTTTGTTACAAAACGTCTACCTTTACATTTGAAACATTCACAATCAGTCCTGATAGTGAATTCACTATTGAACCACAAGAGTCTTATCCCTGTCTCCTCTCACCAGCCCTATCCAGAAAGGTTGGAAACCACTAAGTGGAGATTCTACCTTCTGCACACCCTTTGAAACTAGGATCCCTATTGAAAGCTTATAAGACAGTCACTTCGTGCCTTTGTAGTCCTCCCATTTTGGGTAGCCAATGTCTAAGTTGCCCATCCCTGTCAACTCTGTGTACCGAAGGGTTGGGATTGATCCTTGCTGTAAAGATTCATCCCCCCTTTTGAGCTATTACATCCATAAGTATAGGTCAAGTTCATCATATTGTAGCAGATTACTCTTTTTTTCCTCTTCTTTCTTCCTCTAGTCGAGTTCTGATAATCCAACCACTGAAGTCAGGTCAAATGGGTGCTACTCCAAATATGGGTGTTCTTGTGCATCTCCCCTCACTTCATATCAGCTGGATGCTTCACTGTCTGTTCCAGTCCTCTGTACCCATGTCCCTAGGCCTAGGAGCCCCCAGGTCTTACCATACTGCTGGCCAACCAGGTCTCAATCCTAACTGACAGAAGTCTATTGAACATGATCAGTTTATCTCACAAATTCATTGCTGTTTTTCCCCCAATTCCCCTTATTGGTAGACCAACATGGACACCAGCAAGACCACATGCTTGCTTGTGTATTCCTCTTGAGTCTCAGTATTGGAAGGGGGTTTTCCCTGAGGGGACTCGACCACTTGCCCTGATGGCTCCCCGGTGAACAACTTGGTGTTCCTGTAGTAGTCAATTGGACTGCCATTATTGTTTTTGAATTTTCCTGCCGGTCTTTCTTTCAAGAAGTATCTCTGTTCCTCTAGCTGCTCCAGGCTGGTCTTCTTGTCCTTTCAAGTGGAAATTTCCCACCTCAGAAGATTCTGGATGGGGTTCAGGATTCCACCTATGGTTTTATGAAATGCAGAGGCTCCACAGAAACTCTCCTTCACTGGGCAAATTCTAGTACTATTTTAGGTATTCCATTTAGTTATAGGCTGGAGACAGACTAACAAGCTTTCTATGGTGATGTTTCTGGCTATTCCTTTCTCTCTCCCTCAAGTTTCTATTTTACAGTAGTAGGCAAGGGAAACCAAGATTCAAAAGACAGCTAAGCACCTTAACATTATTCTCCTCCCCTTTACCCATTCAAAACATGCCTCAATCCCTGTATCCCAGAGCCCTGTTGTACGAAGGTTGATCATACATCACTATTTACCTCTGCCCTCTTAGCCCATGCAAATCTACCTAAATGTTCTGCCTTGTTCTTACATTCC